GCAGTGTAAACGAGGCTGGGGCTAAATTCGTCGAGGAGGATCGGCAGAGAAAGTTTTCAAGGCGTTCTCAAGCAACTCTCAGTAACAAACAAAACTCACTGGATAAAATGAACATTGAAGTTGTCTGAGAATGCCCAACAGCTACAAAGGGTAATAATGATAAGCCTGATTGCCACGCAACAGCATATTCTGTCTGGAAGTAAATTTGTCCTAGAACAACAGTAACTCACTTGTTGAGACTTGTTGATCAATTCAAAGTGACGTTCAAATATAAGTTTTTATCTGATAGTGTGATATTGGATACGAAAAACGAAATTTCAGGAGAAATCAAATAAGAAACTAAACTTTATAACGGTCATGGCATTAACAGTGCCATGGAAAAAGATAAAATCACTTGAATGAACAAAATTGGAAGATAGGAAATAAAATCAATAATAACGAGTGAAAAAGTTGTAAACATTGAGGAGAATAACTGTAATAAAGTTACAATGTCAAAAGACATGGAATGATGAACCAGCGACTTCGAAATAATCGTTACTCAGCTGAAAATACATCGGAAATTCACATAAACTCGTATATCTGCAGGTGGAAAGAAATCGTTATTTTAACGGATAAAGTGAAGAAACAAAACTTGCAAGAAAATGAAACTTATGAAAAATATCATTTGTTCACTGGAGCTGCACTTGCAGTTCGAACGACGTTGGACCAGCCTAAAACAACCTGAGACCACAGAATGTGTCCACGTGGCAAACGGAAGGAAGTGCTCCTTATGTCTGACAAAGTGAGTCACCTAAAGAATCAATGGCTACGTCTTTCTGCCTCACCTTGGACCAGAAATGAACTTTATGAACAGATTGGTCATTGACATTTAGCAGAGTAAAGGCAGTGGTATCGGTATTAAAGGACGAGGTCTGAAGATACGGATCATTATCTTGTATAGAAATTGGATAAACATATTATCGACACTTGCTACAGCTGCAAAATGTCACGTTTAATAAAGATCCACGTTCAGACTCAGCTCCACTCCCAGAACACCAACTCGGATGTCCTCAAACCTGGAAGTACCTATGGTGGAGCATGGCAGAAGGTGGTGCAAACCACGCTGTGGGTCAGACGCTCCTAGTTACTTTGAAAAATGGTTACAAACACGATATACGCAAAGCAACTGTAAATGACACTAAGCAACTAGTTCTACATTCTGCGGATACGTTGTCTGCGCTGTATACAATTATATGCGATTCATATATTATTATTATTAAAAACATACGGACGTAAATCTAAAGACAATTAAAAATCTAACAGATACTATGCTTAATCAGGATATATTTGCTGCTCTACCATTTGCTTAACTTCATATTTGTTAAAGAGGGCAATTCATTGTCAAAAGACAGATCTGAGAATCGTCGTCTAGCAGAATTCGAGTGATTGCAGTCGCGAGTGGCTACTCACTTTAGTAACTTGACAGTTTTATCAACTCCACTGTCAGAGAAAGTACTTCAACGCACACCTATTTCCCTCGCTATACTCATGTATCGCAGCAATGTACGAAAACAAATTGTTTGTTCAAAATATTTACTCTCGATAAATATTTTGATAATATTTTCGCATCACCATGCATAACATCAACATGTACAAAACCAAGAGCAGAATTACGGGCCTGCAAGATGTGGAGTCGTCTGCATTGTTGGCAATAGACAATATGTTATTCGTATGTTTTCTCCCTGTTTTGAACTTCCTGATATTTTACATTCGAGAAGTAAAACATTGTTTATTTAAGATGTTTATTTAGACTTATTAAAATTTAGACAAAAGCTTTGCCCAGAGAAAATTCAAGTAACTTTCTTTGATTACTAAATTCATCTACGCTAAAAATTTCAGGCAATTTTCTAACGGGACAAATCGAAAGTCAAAATTTACCAGGTACAAGTTCTTCAACGGATTTTTGACTACGACGTTTTATTTAAGGCTACTTCCAAGGTG